AATTGTAAATAAGGTTAAAAAAAATTCAAAAAATCATCCGTCCAGCTAAGGGTAAAAAAGGAGCACGGGGCAGGCAGTGAAAGGGTTGAATCATTTTTTCTTCAGTTCTTGTCCCAGTGACTGTAGCCAGCAAGACAGCCAATCTCTTAAATGGGGACACGTATAGCAATAAAAATAAGACAGGAGATATATTGAATGAGGACATGTATCACAATAAAAATAAGACAGGAGATACAGTATATTAAATGGGGACACATATCGCAATAAAAATAAGAAAGGAGATCTCTTAAATAGGTATACATACTGTATAGCAATAAAACACATTTATGTTTAATAGTGCCGTAAACAATTATGTAAACGTTGATGTCACAAAAATGCTGGGGTTCTTGAGAGACGCTGGGAATCCCCTAATATGGTGCATACTTTCTGCATGACAGGATGAAACTGCTAGGCAAGAGGGAGGCATGGACTGCACTGATACATACACAGTAACTATAACTCCCTAGATAAGATGACATGTCTGGAGAAAGTCAAATCACTTCACTGATATACATATTCTACTTCCATGTAACCCACAGCAGTTTCACTAATAATTTTAACCATACAATAAGGTAATATAGGATCTCCTAATCACCTTGTTTCCAATTGTTTTGTAACTGTGATGTCTTCCTTTACATTGTAAAGCGCTGCGCAAATTGTTGGTGCTATATAAATCCTGAATAATAATAATATATTTAATATCTGTTGATATGAATACATTATAAATATTTAATACAAATCTATTTGTTCTAAAGTAGCAGACACTTGTAAACTAGCATACCTGATTTAGGGCTTGCTTCCACCAGCCCATGCATTGCGGGCAGTGGGTGTGTCTCCAGTGCCAGTGACATGAATGGCACTGCCCCGCCCAGTGGTGTATTTTGGTTTGGGGCTGTGCAGTGTCTGTGGTGGGCTTTGCAGGCTTTATATATATATATATATATATATATATAAACATCCCCAGTCCGTGTGTCCCCCCCACACACATTTACGTCAAACGCTCCGCCCTCTGCGCATTACGTTCAGCGTGACTTCATCAGGGATGAGGAGCCTTTTATGTGAGTAATTTTCTTTTAAGAAATCATACTTTGTTTGGATGGTACGTGCTATGGTGTTTGCTTTCTTTTTTTGGTCAACACGATCCTGGCATTGACACGTTATACTGAGGAGGCCTAAGATTGGAGGTTATTGCTTTCCTATTTAAGAAGTGTTAAGGTGGCCATACACTTTACAACCATCGCAAGACCTTAGTCTTACGATGGTTGTAAAGTAATTTAAAAAACGTACGATCTGCCCATCTTGGACAGGCAGATCGTACTTGCGATCATCGCAAGCCCGCCCCCCTGAGGGGCGGGCTTCCGATGACTGCAATGCTGAGCGGGCAGTGTGCTCATGCGCACACTGGCCCGTTCCGCATTTGTCTCACGAGCACCATTTAAACCAGCCGACAAACCAGCCTTAGACAAAAGACGTGCGACCGTACAGTAGAAACGGTCGACGTCTTCATTCACACTGCTCGATTCTCGTACGATCGTGTGATTTCCCGCGATTCTCATACAAGAATTGTGCAGTGTATGGGCACCTTTACACAGATCTGTTTGCTGGTCTGATTACACCATTGGAGGACATCTGTGAGCCATTGGAGCTGAGGGCCCCCTCCCCTGGTTAAGAAGGGAATTGCCTGATTTTACCTCTTGCTTGGGTCTATCAATAAGATTTATGAAGATTTAAAGACTTTACACCTGATTGATTTTTTTTCACTGACATTTGTTTGAGTCACTGTTTATACTCTTTATATCTGATCATTGTTGTAGCTCGGCACATTTAGTTATACACATAGAAATATGAACAACCCCCCACAACCAGAACTAAAAACACTAATATACACACAATAAGGCCCCATTTACACCTGTATGTTTAGGTGTGATTAGGGATTCCTGCGTCAGGAACTTGCGTTTTCCTGCAGCAGGAATCCCTAATCTGGCGTTTACAAGCAGCAGCTGCCACCGATTCAAGTTAATAATCAGGTGACAAGCGCTGCATGTAGACGCCTGCACTCCGCATGTAAGGTGTGTGATATGATAATATGTAGTTAGGAATCAATCATTATCCCTGGATGCATCGATCCGTGCATCCACGGAGAATGATTCCAAAGTACCACGGGCCGGTACTTTGAGACCCCTGTTTTAAGATATTTATATATTGTAAATTTATAGTGCTAGTAACCAATATGAATTTATTTTGTACCTATCTGATTTGAGCAAAGTAAACTGATTGATCCAGCACTTGAAGGAAACTTGTCCTGAGAAGAAGCAGGCTGCTATTACCGTAATCAGTCTGAAAATGCGTGTTGCCTAGCCATCTCCCTCTTCTATTTTGAGACACATACCTGAAACATACATGCAGATCACACAAGTCAGGGTGAAATCAGAATCCTAATCTGCATACTAGTTCTTAATCAGTGAATTAGAAAGTACTGAAGCCACCAGCATGATAGCCAGGGAACTAGTGTATTTAGAAGGGAAGGATATTAATGGCAGACTCTGTATTTTCTCAACACATTTGAAGAACCAGCACTTAAGAATTAAGAACCCATAACTGACCACCAATGACAAGTCATCAAAAAAAAAGATAAAAGAAATCTTGAAAACATGATCTCTTGCGGTTACTTGAAGACCGGAGTTACAAAAACACTGCTGTATCCTCCATTAATGGTTTCCTGTGATCTGATTGTATCGCTTTAAAAGGATCTCTACAACTCAACTATCCTTATTGGATAATAGTGCTTACACGTTTGGAGCAGGTAGTGATATCTGCATGAATTTCTTTGTATTCATTCAGAACATATACAAAGGTTTAATTGTTTCTCAAATGAGTTGGTATAGTGTGACAATATGAGTGATCAGATTGAATTCATTCACTCTCACAATGACAGCTTTAGCCTGTGTCTGGTCGTGGTTGGTTGCCAAAGTCTTGGTTATGCAGCCTGCATGACCTTTACACTTTTACCGTGGTAAAAAAAAAATGCAGCAAAATTAGACACAACTCTGAAATTCCCAACATACAAGGGGAACAACAGGACCGTAACCTGCACCCTTTTCATTTCAGTACAGCTTTATTTTAGGACACACTGAAAATGTAATTCCATACTCTCTGTGTCACCTACAAAGAGAATAAAACACAGCCCTCTACTGAATGGAAACAGAAAATAAAAGGTTAGAACTGCTAGAAAAATTTAACCTGGAGAAAAAACTGCTGCTAAATGTATGATTAGCAAAAGTGTTTTTTTGTTGTTTTTGTTTTAGATTAGGATTAGAACCCCCATAAAAGTTTTTACTGCTGTCTTTGTTTCCATTGGAAAGGTTCATACTGTTTAATTGTCCTGCTGACCAGGGCCGTCCCTACCCTTTATGCCGCCTGAGGGGGTGAGTGGGGCAGCGGTTGCTGCTGATAGTGCTGGGGGGTGTGGGGCGGCGGGTGCTGCTGATACTGCTGGGGGGGGGCTTTGCGGCAGATTTAGTGCTGGGGGGTGTGGGGCGGCGGGTGCTGCTGATACTGCTGGGGGGGTGCTTTGCGGCAGATGTGGTGGGATGGGTGGCTATGTTAGAATCCTGCTCTCAGTGGTGCTGTCTCTGGTCCCGCCTAGCTCTATGACATCACTGTTTGCCTGGAGATCGGTGGGACGGTACCGGCCAGAGCGTCCCGCCGAGCTCTCTGGCAACCAATGACGCCATTGAGCTGAGCGGGAAGCCAGACAGACCTGGGATGCTGTGGCCACCCCCCACACACACGTACCACCCCCTAATGAGATGCCGCCTGATGCGACCACCTCAGGATGCTTAATTAAAGGGACTGCCCTGCTGCTGACCATTGGTATTAAGACAGGTAATTCCAAAATACAAAAGTTTCTCAAAAGGATACCGCTCAAATTCGTATGCCCAAACTCATCAGTCGTATCCAAAAAGCTGGGTGCCGGCCGGCAAAGGCACACCACGGTCATGACTAGTAATTTTACAGTTCTCACTAGCACAAAATTTGATGGCAAATCTTTCAATGGGACACCTGTTCCAATTACATCTGTCTAACAGCATAATTCCTCTCACTCAGAGATTTTCTCTCCCTTCCTGTTGCATCTCCTGAACAGGAAGTAAAGGTAAATTTCCGCAATGGAATACAGATAGCAAAAATGAAGCGACAGATGTTTTAATTTTTCCCAAAAAATAAAATTGGCTATATATACACTTTAACAGATTGCAGGTTAAAAAAAAGGATTCTGAGCAGTAGCTGTGTACAGTAAACTGAGTTCAGTTTTTATTACTCAGAAATACTGGGCCTCCTGTATAAAAAGTATTCTAAACCAGCTTCCATCTGTCATTTGAATGCAAGTTAGAATAAGAAAATAGGACTTTTGTTGTTTCTTTGCACAAAAATAACACTTTTCACACTTGAGACACATAATACCATCAATAAAGTAGTTGTAAACTCTAATTAAATGACATTTAGTGTGGTAAAGAACTGTGTACCATAATCATTTGCCGTTTTTCATCTTTTGTTGTATCTCAGCGCTGCTGATCCGTGGCAGACCCTTTGCACTTTCTATCTACATACATGTACACCAGAAATTGCTGCATGGCATTTTTCAGTGTTAGTTTCCTGATGGTGACAACAGTGTGTCTGTGCCTTTTGTAATCTCTATTTGAAGCCTATGTGACAGGGCGACAATGCAGGAGCACATTTGGCAGACAGAGACAGAGCGTTGTCACCCTATAACTGAAAGGGGCTGAACAAGACCCCCTCATGACAGGATCCCCAGAAATTATTTTAATAAAATCTATAGATTAAAAAAAAAATTAAACTGACTTTTGAAATGACATTAAGAGGTTAAAGTTTACATTTTAGTGATTATGCTTTTCACATGCTTTAAATATCACTAAAGGTTGTCATTCTTTTGTCTATTCCAGGATTTGTTGGTAAGAAGGGAATCTCTTATCAAGCATGCTTCTTATAGTTCGACCAATAAAGAACTACGGTAAGTTTATTTTAAAAAAATCATAATAAGATAGTAATTCTAAGTGTAAATCTGGCCATACACTGTCCTGTTTTTTTCACTCAACCCAAATAGAACAGATTTCTCCATCAGTGCTTACAAGCGTTGATCGAGAAAACCTGCTGTTTCTTCTGTATTCTGAGAGCGGGCAGCGGACGCTGTTGGAAAACCCATAAAGAGCGGCTCTGACTGTTCCAATATTTTCCCACTGATTCCTTTGATCAGCTGATCGAGACATGCCAGCCAAAAGAGTATGGACACCAGCACTCCAAAGGTAGAAGTACGTCTATTTATTGATGCACGTGCAAAACATGCTCATTGCGCTGTTTCGGGGTCACGCATGATCCCCTTCATCAGGCAGAACAATGTAGGGGATCCTGCGTGACCCCAAAACGTCGCAATGAGCATGTTTTGAACGTGCGTCAATAAATAGACGTACTTCTACCTTTGGAGTACCAGTGTCCATACTTTTTTGTATTACTGGATATTAGCCATCTGCTGACTGCCAATTCACCCAACCATTCTTATTATGGATAAGGAGTGCAATAGGTATATGGATTGTAGATGCCAGCCAAAAGGGTGCGGACAGTGACACCCACTGTGCAAATTTTCGCTGCGTCCTGAAGACCCAGCCAAAATGGAATATAACATGGGTGCAAAAATGGAAAAAAGGGCCTCAGTCATGAAGGGGTTAAACAAATCATTTTCAAAATTGACTTGCCATTCTTCAGGATCCCCTGTGCTGGGACTTCCTCCTTTGGCACTGCATCCTCTGCAAATAGCTACCCAAAGTTAAAACTAAAGTTAAATTGCAAGATATTCAGGGAAATTTTGCTTTTCATGCTGTGGGAACTCCATCTTTTGTAAGCTGCAGCTTCTCAGCCACTGTGGAGGTACAAATCCCAGAATTATCTGACAGGGCATACTGGGACCTTTGGTTCCATAACGAGCCACATAAATAATGTATCAGGCACTTGTTATCTGATGTTTCTGGGAGATGGTCAGAAACATAGCAGATTTGTCAGAGTAGCAGTGAAGCAATTCAGTTTGTCAGACAATTGTTAGGGTATACTGTACTTATTAATAGAACCCAATCAGTTAACTATTAGTGATGTTAGAATTCCCTGCAAGCTTTAGTAACATTTGTAATTGTGTTCAGCCTGGTACATTTATACGGTCACAGAATCTCTTAGGTAATCCTTATATCCACTAACAGCAGGGGCATCTGTCAGCTCCCACTTATATTGTGTAATAGGTTTGCATGTAACAATTTATTTTCAGACAGCGTATTTATTGATTATTGGGTATTCTTTGCAAAGTCCAGTCCCTAGTTTTTACCACATAAAGAGAAAATTCCCATCCAATGTGAAAATTCCCTGGCAAAGCGAACAGCCTATTTGCCTTTAGTAAATCAAGCCCATAGCATTCAATCTGGTTTAGCCAGAATGTGAACTACAGTTTTGATGCTGGGAGATGGATTTTTCCTTGCATAACATATGCTTGGCATCTTAGAAGTGCAGTCTTAGTTGAAATGCACAGTTTGGATTGGTTGATCGTGCAAATGTGCCACCATATTTGTACAGATATCTGGTCACCTGACCTTCAAAGTACATAATTAGATTTAAAAAAGGAAAAAGGTCTGTGGCTGTTGTCCATGCCCACAATCAGATTGAAGTTTCCATTTTACAAGTGAAGGTTAAAAAATAAAAGCAGTCATCTGATAGGCTACTCTGGGGAAAACAGATTATTTTCACTTGTGTTTTCATCCTTACTGTATGTTATCTGCACAAAATACTATAGGAAATCTTACCCTTAGCATCTACTGATCCCTTACCTACTTTATTTTACTTTGTTCTGATTTTTCTGTGCCCATATTTAGCTCCTCTAGAAGCAAAACTGAAGACCACCCAGAAACAGCACCTTCCGAAACAACATTGCAACCACATTTTATCCACCATTCTCCCATTGAAGTCGAGAGGATGGGTTCCCCATCAAACAATATGGTTGATCAGAGCAATGTAAAAATTCGAAGACACATAAGAGCCCAGAGTCTTACACAGCACAGTAATCTTCAGAGCACAAGACTGGCCACCTTACCGTCACCCAGTAACTTCAGTCCCAATAAAACTATACAAGATTCACCCAGCCAGAAGACACAAGATACTACTGAAGATTATTTGTATACTGAAAGAAGAACTAACATTTCATCAGCTGAGGCTAAAAGTCAAAGTGCATTAGATTTAAGTGTGCATAGTAATAACTCAATGAATCAGAACCATAACAAACTGCATACAAAGTATACTCCACCACAGAGGCCTCCACCACCAAAAGTCAAGGGCCTAAATTTAACAAAAGAAGCAAACATCTCACAAAACAGCACCATATCTGGTCCAAAGGCTCCCACTGGTTGGAAAAACAATGCAATGTGGAGCAGCAGTTCATCAGATTCTGAAACTCCTTCCCACCACGGGAAAATATCCCTCCGTATATCTGAGTCTGGTCTCCAGTTATCTCCTGTGGTTGGCAATGATGACGTGGATGATGAAGTATTTGTTAAGGACCAGGAGTTGGAAACATCGCCGGAAATTAAATTTGTTCCCCCATCTCCACCTCCGTTCCCACCTCCAACTCTGGAAGATGCCCTTTTGAAGGAAAAGCAAGAGACAATGCAAACTTTGCTGGCCACTCCGCCCAAGCATTATAAAGGCAATGTGAGAAAAGACTGGAAAGAAATGTAAGTACCTTGTGACGCACAAGAAAGGTGTGATCAGTTAAGAATAGTACCTTGTTTGGGTTTTTTTCTGAATTCTCCCTTTAGTGGTCAGAAATAGCAGTGCACCAAATTAAATCCTGCCTTTTCCATGGTGTCTTGTGCTATAAAAATCAAGCAGAAACAGACGAATGAAAGACATGTAAAGAGTTCCATGTTCCATATGCACTAAAAAAAAACTTGTATACTGTGAAAAGGACAGATGAAATTAGTTTATGTCTCTCTCTTCACTGACTTGCTTTTTTGTCTGTTGACATTAGTGTCTGGGAGCATACTAGTAAAGAGAGAACAAATATTCTGTATGTACAATGCATGCACACTATTCCTTTATGTCTAGCCTTCATTTTATAAAGTTTATATAAAGCAGTGCTTAAAACCCCATCAGGCTTATTTCTTTGCTGGGTTGTGTCCTGTTGGGCAACAGAGAGAGAGGAAAAAGTAAGATGAATCCCTGCAAAGTAAGAGGAAATCCCCCTTCTATTCACTTCCTATACTAGTAAAATTTGGGATAGTCTCTCACTTTCTACCCCAGTAACAATGGTCACCAGGACATAGAGAGAGAGTGAATGTCCTTAGTTAAGACACAGACGACAATATAAACCCCACAGGGATGTTATACCTCCATTTGCTATCCAAAATAAAAAAAAAGTTTTGGCTTTCAATACACATTAAAGAGGCAGTGTCACCTTGCCCATGTTGGACCCTTGGCCTTCTTATAGCCAAATTACCAGAGATTCCATGCTGCTTCTTCCTTCTCCGCACTTGGTGATGATACCTGGCACTTTCCTGTATAGAAGAGCATTGCACGGGTCTAGCAGCCAATAGCAGAAGTCCCCAAGGTCACCAACACTGATCACTTGTGTGCTGATTGCTGTGGAGAAAGAAACGCAAGGGATTGCCGCTACGGTGAGTATAAGGAGGGGGGGGGGGGGTTTCGGGGGAGTCCTTTGCTGAGACATTTGCCCTGAATGTTTCTTTAAGCATACATGGTATGTATGAGTGAAGGTGGAATTGACATTTGACTGCAGAAGGTCTTCCACAGTCTAGGTTTTTAGATTACAGCATGTTCCACACTTACACATTCACCTAAGCCTCCTTAGAAATGAATGGTCAGCCTCTCAATTACAATTAGATGGTTTATTTTTAAATAAGAAAAGAAAATATTCACGAGGTGGTACCTTATGACCGTGTGTGATCAAGGCACAGAGTCCAAAATGAAAAATTCCACTATGAGACACTGACACTTTAAGGCATTGTAAAGTGTCTTAGTAATACAGACAAAAAAAGGTATGCAAATGTTTTTAGCAAATAAATGCATACAAGTACATCCATATATAAAAGTGTTCTGTAGAGAAAATCGCACTTTGTCAAAGAGCTTCTAAGCCAAAAATCATCACATTTATTCAATAGTTATCAGTAATCCATAATTGTACATACGGGAGAATATTCGACTCCTCTTCACAACTTTTGACTGCAATATCAGTGTTACCCATTCCCAGGCACTAAGCACCACGATTTTGATTATACAGTACTTGTTCATGTAGCAACCATGTTCATTGTTTTATCTTATAGTCTAGATGGCACCTTCTGAAATGAAGATTCTCAGCTTGCCTCTTGTATTTGATTCTTTTGATTAATTTTTTACAATATAGGATATTTGAGATAAAGTTGTGACTATGACACATGTGACTAATTTTAACTGCCACTTTCAGAAAGCAAAAAAGGTTCTCAGCCGCACATAAAAATATGACTTTGAGGCTTTTTAAAAAATGAATTTGTAAGTCAGCAAATTTAGGTATTTTTAAAAATGCTTTTTCTTTTACCCTTTCAAGCTATTTTCATGATACCGTTGAGTCTATACACACTTTTGTGCTTAAAAATGTTTGTTTTATATGCATTTTGTAAGTGCAGTTTTCAATTGTTGTAGTCTGTTGTCATGCATTTTCAGGCATGTCAACATTAATTTTTGGAATGTATTTACAAGCAGGTGAATGCTACATGCATTACATAGTTACATAGTTAGTCAGGTTGAAAAAAGACACATGTCCATCGAGTTCAACCTATAGAGATATGGAAAAAAAAAAAAGAGAAGAAAAACCTAAACAGAACACTATGCCCACAATTACCCACTGTTGATCCAGAGGAAGGCAAAAAAACCCTATAAAGCACGGTTTAATTTGCTCCAACAGGGGGGAAAAAATTCCTTCCTGATCCCACAAGGCAATCGGATATTCCCTGGATCAACAATCTCTGATGCCTATTATAACTATAACAACTCAATAACCAGTAATATTCTGTGCATTTAAAGTGACATTAAACCCTCAGATTTTTTAACATAAACCAATACTGTAATGTGTGCCTTACTGTAATCCATGGTAGTTTCCCTTCTCTTTGCTGCTCTTCCTTTTAAATCCTCATGTCTTCTCATGCTTGGGGAGAACTTCCCTTTTCAGCTCAGGGCCTCTTCCTGTAGTGCTGGCTCAGGTTACAAGCCTGTACAAACGTATACACAGACACCGTGTATCCATTCCTGAGACAAGGCAGTCTGCTGCAAAACAGAAGTTCTGCCCAGCATGAGAACAGATAACAGATTTAAAAGGAAGAGCAGCAAAGAGAAGGGAAACAACCATGGATTACAGTAAGGCACACATTACAGTATTGTTTTATGTTAAAAAATCTGAGGGTTTAATGTCACTTTAAGAATACATCCATTAAAAATGTATATTTTGTTTCCCCTATACCTTTAGAATATATGTGCTGTAAACTACATCTAACCTACAGTAAGCAAATATCAGCTGTGTCTGAAGTTAAAGGACACCTATCGTGCGAAGAAAAAAATTAATTATCAGTATTATGGCAGTTTTTAAGCTGCTTTTTATTGACTTTTAATATTTCTCTACTGCGTGATGCTTGGTGCACAAAGTAGGCAGTGACGGTTACTGGTCTACACCATGCAGGCAGTAGGGGGTTGCTTATGACATACAGGTGAAACTCGAATAATTAGAATATCGTGCAAAGTTCATTTATTTCACTAATGCAACTTAAAAGGTGAAACTAATATATGAGATAGACTCATTACATGCAAAGCAAGATAGTTCAAGCCGTGATTTGTCATAATTGTGATGATTATGGCTTACAGCTTATCAAAACCCCAAGAACCCCAAATCTACAACCTCAAAAAAGTAGATTATTACATGCAATCAATAAAACAAGGATTGTACATAGAACAATATCGGACCTCTGAAAAGTACAAGCATGCATATGTACTCAGTACTTGGTTTGGGCCCCTTTTGCAGCACTTACTGCAATTACTTTTGCACGATATTCTAATTATTCGAGTTTCACCTGTATGCATGATATATGCATGATCTAAGATCTGAAGGCAGGAGGAGTGGGAAAGAAAGGAGTAGGGTGTCAGCAGAGTTCTGTAGTCCAGCAGGCAGGGCTGATGACACTGGTTGGTGTACCTGTGTCACTAGTTGGTATTCCTTATTGTCAGCCCAAACAGGAGGTTAGGCGCTTACTGGGTTTCTGGCAGATGGCAGGTATTTTGCTATGCTTTCAGTGTTTTTAAAGAGCTAAACATGTAGGAATGTGGTGGAGAGATATATTAAATGTGTTTTGTTTTGTTTTTTTGGCCGGATGTACACTGTAATAAAGCATTTGATTCTTTAACCCCTTGCCGCCGGCTGCTGCCAGGCCTTTGAAGGTTCTTGAACGCTAGTAGTCACAGGCAGGCTTCCTGATCATGTAATCATGTATAGTTGGCCAGACTTGAGTTGGCTGGATGTATATAGATGGCAGCTCGGTATTAAAGCCCGCCTGTCGTGCTGCCACATATATGTGTTATCCTGGGGGAGGGTGTTAAATTATTTCAGAAAATAATGCTAGATTTTGACAGCATGTCATAGCTTTGTTTTGATGTTTTCCTCTTCTAATGGCAGATATCCCAAAACTGTGGAGGGCACGGAAACAATGGAGACAACCACAGAAAAGAGTGATTTGAACATGCCAACTGCTATTGCACTTATAAGAGAGAGTGAAGTTCCTCAGGCTAGTGCCTCTTCTTCATCAGAGATACCTCAGTCTACAACAAGTTTCGTGAGAACAGGTCAGAGCTCTCAAAACCTCCCTCCAACTCAGGATGAAGAAACCTCCAATGTAGCACTTAAACATTCAGAAGACATACACACCTATAATCATGTCAGCACAAGTATGATGTCTCCCGAGGATGTCAAATCTCAGGAGTTGGCCAAGGAGATTGTAGACAAAGACAAATCTCTGGCTGACATTTTGGATCCAGAGTTTAAGATGAAAACAACTATGGACGTAATGGGGGGGCTGTTTATGAGAAGCCCCAGTGCTTTAAGAGAAAATAAAAGGCAGATCAAAGACAAGATGATGTCAGAAGATTTGTCATCATCACACAATGGAAAGTAAGTATTTCTACCAAGCCCGTCTTTTATTTGAACCACTCTTTAGCTCTGTCTACCAATTTGTACATATCCATTTAAGCTTTTCTTTGGCAGGTAAAGCACGTCATGAATATGTATTTCTGCATGTTTAACCATTAGTGATGATTTTCACTTTTACCTAACGCAGAGCATTTTTTACCTTAATGCATTCTCGGCATTAAGGTAAAAAAATTCCCAGTACCTTTCTGTCCACCCATCCCCCCTACACTTACCTGTGGTCACTTGTCACCGCTGCAAGGTCCCTGAAGATATCCACCATTCAGAACTTCCTGGTTGAGGGGGGAGGGTACTGAGGGCAGAGTAGAGATTGGCTCCTTCTGCCATCAGTCAATCTGTTGGGAGGAGAGCTAGCCACGCTTGTATGGACGCACACAGCTACTTGCAGCCACAGCCAGCAACGCACATGCACAGGTGTCTCAGCAGCCAGCTAGCTAATGGAGACACCAGCAACAGGCCAGGAGAGCGATTTGGGCGATCAGCTAGAGAATGAGGAAAGAAATAGCTTTAAAGAAGAAATAGCTTTAAAGAAGAAGTTTAAAGTTCATGTGATATACTGTATGTGTGTATTGAATACATAACAGAAATATTTCATACAAAGAAACTGTTACTATTATATTATGTTTAGAGTGTTTTACCATGTTGGCAGACATCCCAACCTGTAAAAACTCATTTTAGGGAGGTGCCCTCTCCCCCATCCATGCCACCGGCCACCGTCAGAATAAAAAAAAAACAACAAATAGCAAGGGAATGAATAGCTAGGCTGCTATTGGCCATTTCAAATTGCAATAGCCAATGGCTGGCTATTGTACACACCCCCCCCCCCCACTGCCGCTGTCAATAAAGGAGAAAAAAATAGATAGCGGGTAGCAACATACATTTATATTTTCATTGTTTCCTCTCCCTCTGTGCCTTAAAGTTCTCAAACAGTGATCAGGTCCTTAATATTTTGGTCAGTTCTGCAGAAATCATGATCCCTCTTCTCCCATCTCCCAATTCATATAATTTTAAAGTCCATTTCCACCTTTGTAAGGGATTAGGGTGACTACCATATTTGTAAATTTAGTAAAAAGGCTTTGGCACAATAATTATGCAAACTTTGGTGTATATTTGTTGATGCTTTTTTTTATCATTGGAGGACAAATATGCAGCAATTACTGTTTAGTCTCCCCTATTATGACTCTAAAATATGGCTGTTATAGTATTGTAATTATTACAGTTCCCAAAACACTGTATGACACAAATAAGTAAATGCCTAGAGAAATACAGTAGATGTGAATGTAATTAGAAAGAATGATAATGGCGCCACCATGTGGTAGATGAAGGTATGTGTTCTAGACTGCAAATCAATTAGCATTATTCTTTACTCTTAAGAATTCTGTTATCATAAAATCATTAAACTATGTTTAATCCACACTCAAAATCAGATTCTATTAAAGTTATAACTTCTTCATGCTTTTCCTGTACGATAGGATATAGATATATGGCATTTAGCAATTATAAAGTGCAGAGTGGACTAACCCACAGCAATCAATCACATTTAACAAGAGACAATTTTTGACTGGTTGCCATAGGTTGCCGTTCTTGGCACATCATCACTGCTTTTTGCTGTGCCTGTTTAGATAAGAATGTGTTAGTGGAATAGCACGGTTATAATAGCAAGTAGCTATTGTCTAAGTACAAATATTTAGTTGCCCATGTATTAAACAATTTTTATTTGGTAACTGTATAGGAAAGAGGATAAGAAAAACTCTACAGAGAACGTATTGAGCATCTCCACCCATTTCTCCATGTCTGCTTCCAAAGTTGAGCTCCTACAAAAAATCACAGATTCACAGATAGAAGGGAAAGCTGATGTAAACGGAAATAAGGTAAGCTGTGTTTTGGCTGGTAGTAGCTGTTGTTTTCCTACCTGGTTGTTATATAGGTTTATAATAACACCTACCGTATGTGTGTTTTTTGTGTGCTGGTAGCAGGAGTAGGCAAACTTCAGCCCTCCAGCTGTACTGAAATTACAAATCCCATCATGCATCTGCCTATAGAAGTCAGACCTGTGGCTGTAAAAGTCTTGCAATGCCTAATTGGATTTGTAGTTTTACCACAGCTGGAGGTCCGAAGTTTGCCTATAGGCTCCTTGCAAAGTTCACTTGAAGCTGAACATAAGATATAAATGTTTATGCATATTTATATTGGTACAGCTTGGCTATAAAATAGTAGCTCCAGGAACCCTGTGGGACGATCATGTATGGCATCTGCATACTTATATTGGGCCAAGCTAGACCAGTGTAAGTATGCATAGTACTCTGTAGCTGGGGTTCAGCTTAAATACATCAGAGCCCCCTTCCACATAATAAATTGCTGCATTAAAGTAGTTGAAAAAAGTTAGTAATGGACAGCGCATTCACATTTGTGCATTGAGGTATATTTAGGGGTGTGTGTGTGTCTTTATAATGTATATGTGCATTGGGGTATCATGTGGAAAGAATGACAATGCACCACACATATATCACACATGGTGGTTTATTTGCATTAACTAGTATAATAATATAGGTTAGCATACAGTAAGTGTACAAATGCATGCACACAGCTATGAAGGGAGCCTTTAGCAATTTATATGAAGGCTTGCTATATAATTACAGAATGTCACTACATTTCTTCCTTATAGAGAGACTTATTATCATTGTGATAATATGGTCAAATACTGTTGATTCTTTAATTGTCCACACCTTGTTGGACTTTGTTTCAGATCTAATCTGTCAGCGCAATAACATTTACCAACAGCTATGAAGTACAAGGGCCTTTTTAAAGAATCCATTTAAATGATATCCATTTGGGAAAATCTTTACAATATACCGTTTTTGACTAATTTTTATTGCTTTACATTATCTCAAGATGGGAAAATAGACATCTGAAAAGACTGTTTGTCCAGAGGAAAGTGGATGAAAAATTCCAACTCAACAGATTACATTTTCTGGCAACGTCTCTGTCTATAAAAGATCTTTTGTAGGAACAATATTGGTTAGGCAAAGGAATGTTTAACTCTTAAATCACCTGCTTTGTGAGACCGCGTTCCACTGTCAATAGGTTAAACCTATAAGGATAACCTTACTGTTAAATGCCTTGGGAGACATGCTTGTGAAGTTTTGTAATATCTCCATACCACGACAGCTGGGGTGCCAAGGTTGTCTACCCCTCGACTAACTATTACTAACCACAACAAATAGTTGTAGAGTTCTCAGACAAGGGTGTTAGGATTCATGAACAGTGCTGAATAAGATGCACTTTAGGGATGCTGAATGAAGGAGTGCCCAGGTGTGAAGATGGCTTGATTCTATATCAATATATTCCATATATGATTAATTCTATAACAAAGCACAATGAGAACACTTTAATGGAATCAGCCATCTCCAAACTCATGCCACAGATACTTTTGGGGTAGTGAAGCTGAACCTGTGATTCACTGTTTTGTAACTGTTGTATATGAGATGGAAAAATTCTGTTTACATCAGAAACCTTTCATAAAAGTCATTTTAATAGAGTTTTCTACTGTTTCTTAAGAACAACATCTTAAGACTAAAGACCAATTCTTGATCTGTTTATGCTCCCTGCCTCCCTAGCTTGTGGGTGGGTAGAATAAGCCAGACATGTCATGGTGCAGGACTTCCTTCCTCAGGAGCACCCTGCCTTCTCCTGCCTATCAGCATATTCTCAATGCACTTCTTTAGAATAGCCCTTGCTTAGACATCCGCATTTCTCACTGCATGTGCCTTCTTTCTCTTCACAGTTCATAGCGGTGATACTTTTATGTTTAAACATTCTCATGCTACAACTTAATCAACAGCATATATTACAAAGTTTTCGGGCTTTTTCTTGAAACGAGCAGTGTTGATATAAAAACTGTATAAAAGAAAACAAATACTAGAGTGGAGCTCATTTGAATTTTAAATTAAAGAACATAAGATGAAACCTGATTGGCCCCTATAAGCTAAAGTTTTTTCTTCATTTTTGCAAACAGACCAGAAGTTATTTACAATGGAAAGAAGTGTGCAGGGCTGGATTCTAGAATAGCCAACATTGGCATAGGGTAGCAGGACTTCCAGGAGGCTCACAGACACCCACACAATATAGTTATGAGTGTTAGTAACACATTCAAATATTTTATACATTTACCGTACTTATAGCTCATCCACTGTTGGTCAGTACATCTACAATGTGACATTATGCCACACTCTTCTAGTCAGAGGTACTTGTTACAGATTTTGAGTTGGCAAATTATTTTCAGTCTCTTCATTCCTAGCCTTGGTGTGCCATGTGTGGCTATGCTGTCTGATCTTGTTAGTCCTATACTAGGGCTAGCCAATCCTCTGGGTAAAAGAAGGTAGAATGTATTTAATCACAACGCTTTGTATAGCATTCAAAAAATACATTAGAGTAAAAAATAGAGCTAACATTTCAACTATTCTAATATATGTAGACAATCTGTACTTTGACTGGACGTTGTCCTCTGCCCAAATTTCAGTATTTGTCTCAAATGGCAGAAGAGCCACATGTCCCTGGGAAAGGGAGAAAGTGATCTAAGTGATTCGTGCCATGCTCATAATTACATTGGCATTCTTCCTTGCGCAGGACACGAAGGGACATTAGCACAGTCATTACGAAGGGTGTATAGTGGAAAGCTCACTTGGGCAATTAATGCCCACTTTTGTGTCTGCACAATAGAGTTATGTCTGCTGGTGTTTTGGAATTACAGCAATACCGATTAATGAAAACAAACCAAGTGTTTGTAGGTCAAATCTGCTGCCCATTTTCACAGAGAGGATATGACAGAGAGATTAACCATAGAATCCCTGTAAGCTCAGGGGGCAGAGATTGATTTCCATTTTTTTCTGTGGTGAAGATTTAGACCTCACAGTTCAGGATACAAATCCTTCCAGGTTTCAACCTTTCATGCTATGTAAATAGTGGGATCAGCCAGACACTTTATAGCAGCACAAATCCATTACACCTATACACTGTGCTTTAGATATTGGAGAATCCAGTTTGTGCAGATTATATCTTTGTTATTTCAGCCAAAAATGAGCACTTAGCCCTTGCAGTGGGGCTACCCCCACACTGAAAAGGATACGTTTTCTTCTGCCCGGAGTTCTTCAATAAGAACACACCAGGTGAGAAGACACCAGAACACCAAGAAAATACCATCACAAATACAGAAAGAAAATATAAACTTTTTGTACATGATGGGGTTGATTTACTAAAGGAAAATAGGCTGCTCACTTTGCGAGGGAATTTGAACTTTGCATGGGAAGTTTGCCCTTCGTTTAGTGAATAGTTCTGATGACTACAATCACCCAATCATGTGCAAGCAAAAATACTGTTTTGGTTTGTTTTGTTCCTTGCACGTTATTCGCACCCTTCGTAATGATTCTTTGCAAAGTGAAATTTCACCACGTTCAAGCTAAGGAAATCTTCCCCTGCAAAGTGCAAATTCCCTTACAACAGCATGTGTGCCTTTAATTAAACCAATGCCACTGGTGTGATTTCAAAGCAGGATTGCAAGGCCTGTGAGAAACTGTCTAGTGCACATTGAAGTTGCAACTCTGTAAACAAGGCTTGTTAAGGGATTTCATAATTATCTTGAATCATGTTTGCACTGTAATTTGTGGGATTCACTTGCTATTTTTAATATGCTATAATGTGGTGGAAACAATGGCGTCTATTCACAAAGCTGCCGAAGGATCTGGCCGTAGCTTCGGCCGATCCTTCGGCTAGCTTCGGCCCCAGGACCCCTTCGGTTCAGGAGAACCTTTTTCTATTAACTTTTTTCTACTTTTTTCACTCTTTTTCTGTTCTGCTCGGTGCCTCTGAGGGACCAAGCAGAACAGCCGAGCCAAATGCCGCTCGGCGGCATTCGGCTATTCTCTCACTGCTGTTCGGGATCTTTCAGAATAGCTCGAACAGCAGTGAGTAGGCTGCCGGAGGTTCGGCTCAGCCGATCCAGATGTTGGATCGGCTGAGTCGAACTCCTTCTGCACTTCGGGTCAGCCGAACATGCTGAGCATGTTCGGCTGATCCGAAGCCACACGAAGCAAGCCGATGTACGGCTGATTTCAGCCGATATACGGCTGAAATTAGCCGTACCAGCCTGAAGTGAATAGCCGAACAGTGTTCAGCTCACTTCACTTCTGATCGGTCATTCACTCGGCTGCCCTCGGCAGCTTTGTGAATAGACCCCAATGTCTTTCCATCTTCTTTCCCGTGAAGGTTTTTATTTTTATCAGAACTTGCTAATTATGGTAATCTGGTATGCTTAACTAGGCTTGCTTTCTAGTGTACTGTCACCTGAGAATTCTTTTAGGTTCATAATAAATTGTTATGAAGTGCTTTGTTCTCAGAGCTACCCAAATCTGTAAAACTAATCAAAGTTTGTGATGCTGTAACTGCATATTACATGGAAAAATGAACCTCTTGCTGAATATCAGATAACACCCTAGGAATCCTATATCCATATAACAGGTGGTAGAAGAAAATGTGTATATAATGCCATTGTATTGTTTTGGATAGAGTATGGAATGGTTAAAACCAAAGTCATGATTTTATTGCTGTTTGTGTCCAAACTGCCTCAGATATTAAATAAAACATATGTTAGGAATATAAGTAGATATTTGTCATAAGGTAAAGTAATTTGAAATTCATCAGATATTTGTTCTTCTTACATCTGCAGGTGGAATTAGTTACCAACCTTATCCGTAAACTTGACATCTTGAAAGGTGCCAAGGAGAGTCTTATAGTCGATATAAAGCTCAACAACCGTCTTGGTGAGCAGGTGGAGACATTGGTCGAACAACTCTGCAAACCCAATGAGTTTGACAAGTATAAGATGTTTATTGGAGACCTGGAAAAGGTGGTGAACCTTCTGCTCTCACTGTCGGGACGCTTGGCTAGAGTGGAAAACGTGCTATGCACCTTGGGTGAAGATGCCAATGCTGAAGAAAGGGTACATGCATCAATTGTTTTTTTAAATTTTGCACTTTGGGAAATCCCTAGCAAAATGTGTCTGCTGTATTCCACCTCAGTTGATCTCATTTACGGTTTTTCCTCACCTCATTTTTCTTTCAGAACTCATCTCTCTTTCAGAACAAAACACTGTGTAAAGTTTTTTTGGTGAAAATATCCCCCCTAAGATCCTCACGTAGAGTATCAGTCTGCTTGAGAGCATCTCTAAGGTGGCCCAAGTGCTTAGGGTTGGCCTGCTTTTTCATGGAACACCGCAGCACAAGATTTTTGGAAATTTGGGGGCAAAGCAATAAGCATATGTGCCCTAATGAAGGGGTTTTCCAAGTTGTTTCTCCGATAGCTAATTCCATATCATTTATCTATATGGTTATGACTGAATACTAGCCTTAATCCAAAATATTTCTCCACATTGTGGGCTCTTGAAGGGTCTTTTACTAAAAAATAATCGTATCTTATCTTTTCTTATCTTATGTTTTAGGAAAAACAGGTGGATGGTTTTTATCTGCAAAATAGATTTCAATGAATTGTTTTATTTTTGTCAAAATCTGGTAAAAATAAAAGGAGATATTTTTAATTTAAGGAGATTTAATTACATAGTTACATAGTATTTGAGGTTGAATAAAGACATTAGTCCATCAAGTCCAACCTATTAGGATCTCATTCTAGGAGTACCTGTACCCCTGTATATTACGGTCCCTTAAGAAATCGTCCAAAAGTTTCTTGAACAATTCCACATTCTTTGCTGAAATCACTGTCTGTGGCAGTGAGTTCCAGACCCTAACTGATCTTACTGTGAAGAACCCCCTTCGCCCCTTGTGCTGGAATTTTTTTTCCACCAATTTTAGGTGGTGGCCTCTAGTTTTTGTAATGGAGTTAATTAATACAATTAAAGGAAACCTATATTGAGAGAAATAAGATCACTTGTTGTCTAGCAGTCATGCTTATGTAATGACTGCAGCTCTTTACTATGGCCACAACAAGTATGTAGTGTAGGAGTACTTATGCCTAAACATACAGCATTCATCTGTACATCACCTGTTGTCAGGGCCGGTGCAAAGATTTTTGCCTACACAGGCAAAGGTGCATTTTTGCACCCCCCCTGCACGCCCTCAGGCGGCTGCTTAAAAAAAAAATGTGAAAAGGTTAGAAAAAAAAACATTTTCGGTTTCGGCCTGACATTTTATTTTTCATTTCGGTTTTGAAATTTTAATTTTGGTGTACCTCTAATTTTTTTTTTTTTTTTACTTATCACTTTTTTATTTTTTTACTTTTTAAAATTGTTATTTTTCTATGATTATCTTTTAATTTTTTATTTGTTATAATTTTTTTATTCTTTGTTACTTTTTTATTTTTTAATCTTACTATCTTTTACTTTTTATCATTTTAATTATTATTTTTTACTTCTTTTTTCATAACTTTTATTTATTTTATAATTTTTTAACAATCATTTTTTTTTTATTATTACATTTTTATTTTCTTCACTTAACTTTATTGCTATCACACAGGAGCTAACAAGCCCCTGTGTGATAGCATATGGAGGTGACAGGTTCTCTTTACTGAGCCTGTCACCTCCCATACAGGCGTTCCAGCACAACACTGTTCTGGAACTCCTGTGACAGCTGACAGGAAGGGCTGCGAGTGCAGCTCTCCTCTCACTGTCTCCTGAAAGGATCTCCGGCTGGCCAGCGGCAAGAAAGGGGGGGAGCAGGGGGGATCGGGTGAGAACTTCCTGATGGGGGGGGTGCCAGATGCCCGGGAACCTAATGTCCCTCACCTAATCACAAGGACTCCTCTGCTCCCTGGTGGCTAATTCGGCTCTACATACCGGCGCTGAGAGGCGGCTCTGATTACACCTGTCAGCGCTCACTCTCTCTCTCCTCCTGGCCGCTCTGAAGCTGCAGTGGCCGGGTGGAGAGAGAGGGAGTGCAGAGAGGTGTAATCGTCGCCATCTTAAAGGGGCCCCCTCCCAGTCCGCATCTTTCTGCCCCTCCACCAGTGCCCTCAGGCAGCTGCTTGACCTGCCTGTAGAGTAGCGCTGGCTCTGCCTGTTGTTGACGAAAGGTATGCATCTACCGCTTGACTGATCTTTTGTTTTACATTTATGTAGAACACCTGGAATGAAAAGAAAAAGCAACTCTGTGGTCAGCATGAAGACGCCCGAGAACTCAAGGAGAACCTTGATCGTAGGGAAAAGTTGGTGATGGAAATTTTAGGAAACTACCTCACCAGGGACCAGTTTCAGGACTACCAGCATTTTGTGAAAATGAAGTCAGCTCTTCTTATAGAACAGAGGGAGCTGGATGATAAGATCAAACTTGGTCAGGAGCAATTGGATTGCCTTTTAGAAAGTTTACCTAAAGATTTCATGGACAATAGAAAAGTGCCTTTGAAAGAAGAAAGTGTGTCTTCTTCGGGGAATGTAAAGATGCTTCCACCATTGACCACTTCACTTTAATGTTCTTCTTCTTAGACAACTCAGGCAGATGTACATTAACTAGAGATTCATTTGATTTAAATTGTGTTACAAGCACAGTAATGATGGCTATAAATCAAAGAAGTGTCAAGTAAGGAAAATTCTGGATGTCATTCATTGGCAGTGAAGGGATGACTGAATGTGTTGTTCCACTGCCTCACTCGTACAGTACTTGGTGCTGCTGGGAACAGTGAAAATCCACACAAACCACACATTGATGGAGCAGGAAGACAATACATTATTCTTGTGTTCACACTGTGAGACTGCAAGCCTGTAGCTATGTGGAACTGATGCCTTACTGACCCTGCTTTTCTATTTATAAAACTCCTTTTTTGTAATTCATTTATGTACGTTTTGTATATAGGCTAACCTTTATTCTGCTGTAGAGATTGCCTTTTCATGTTGTAATGAAAATCGACTAATTCAGTGGTGCCCAGTAAGTAAAATACTTACTTTATCGCATTTTTTTTTTTTACATTCGTTTACATAAACTCACCCCTTTTGGATTGACCTAAGTACCTTGTGAAGAAGAACAATGTAGTGAATTATCTGGCTGTCACATTCTTGTGCTTAAATCATGAAAATGTCTGTAAAGATTGTGCCAATGAATAATGTAAGAAGCCACAATTTCTTTTTATCAACAAACCTTGGAAATGCAATTAGAGCATATGATGAAGCAAGGCAAAAGCAGAGGTTAGAGGTGAAACAAAAAATGCATGTCAGTAGGTCCAAAGATATAGACAGCTGAATTATGTACAAACTTTCATTTTTCTTGTGAAGGCTGAGCTTGACCCTACCCTTACCTACCGTTGCTCACTATTGATCAGTAAAGCCACAGGTTATTTCGAAGGACCAACAATGGGGTCTACAAGGCAGGATGTGGTGGGACCCTCCTGCCTATACAAAAGGTTTAGAGAATACCTAAAGCTGAAACATTTTTTAAACTGCTGTCAGTTTTTTGCAGTCTGTGTCTTATTAGAGAGATTTTCCTTTACTTTCTTTCCTGTAGACTCAAGTCATGTTACCGTGTTTCCCCGAAAACAAGACCTACCCCGAAAGTAAGACCTAGCACTATCTTTAGAGATTCCTGTAATATAAGACCTACCCCAAAAATAAGACCTAGTTCGGTGGTAGGGGGCACACATGTATTGCTGCATCCAAGCAGCCAGTCAGGGGTCCGAGAGTAACATTCAATTATATGAGCAGCTGGTCTCCTGAAGTCTGCATGTATAAAACATGTCAAGGACCGCACTACATGTCATGCATACACGGCGGGGACTGGCCGCAGCTCCCGCCCGCACACACACCTGTCTGCTTTGGCTTTTACGGTACATAGAGAGCTGCCGCTGAAAACTACATTTCACAGCAGGCAGCGGCACAGCGCGGCATGGCCAGTGGGGTCGGAGTGAGGTGAGGGAACTTCGGACTGGAGGTCCATGCGACGAGGTGGCTCCCTGGACTGCATCAGAGAGGAGAGCTCCAGGACAGCTGCAGCCTGCAGGTACTGTGACACTGTGTGTGACAGTATTTGTTCATTTTGTTGCACATTAACCATTTGCTGTCCGTCCGTAGTAAAAAAACGGACGGACGGCACTGCAGCATTGGCGGGTTGCCGTCTCCAGACGGCAATTTTTTTCTGCTTGCGCGCGCCCCCTAGCGGGCATGCACGGGCAGAAAAGCCCCGACCATTGCACACACCCGTTACCGGGTGTTTCACATATAGGCGATTAGCGGCTCCATAGCCCGCCGATCGTCTATATGTGCTCGTTCGCGTATTATTAATAGCGTATTATTCCCCGTCTTTTATATTTTACCAAAAAATTGGGTAATAATAAATGTTTTATCTTTTAATATAGGGGAAACTGTTTGTTTTTTTTTAATTTCGGTAATTTTTCCTTAATATAGTAAAAAAATAAAAACCCCAGTGGTGAATAAATACCACCAAAAGAAAGCTCTATCTGTCCCCAAAAAAGGGTATACAATTCATTTCAGTACAGCGCTACATGACGGAATAAATGTCAGTCAAAGTACCGCAGCGCTGAATACTGAAAAATGGCCTGGATGGGAAGGGGGTTTAACACCGCAGATGTCGACTGGTTAAAAAAAAAAAAAATAAGACCTAGTGTGCTTTTTTGGGGGAAAAAAAATATAAGACAGTGTCTTATTTTCAGGGAAACACGGTAGATGTATACTCTTTGTCAGGGGGACACGTATTCCTGTTGTAAGATTTCCCCTCTATTCTTGTTCTGGTGACAACTAAAAATTTTGTTTCTGCCCTAGTTTACACTCCCGGTGACAACGGCGATCAGGACATTTGCCGAGAGCGAAGCCCCCTAACAGGGATGCACACAGCAATTAAACCTGATGGCGGTTCTAAACCCTCACTACTCCAAATCCCAAAAAAAGTTTGGCATTTAGTTATACTGTAAATTTCCATACAGTTTCAGCAGTTTGTGTCTCTGGATCTGCTCATTGTCCTGGCAGTTTTTCCTAAAGGCTTCCTGTTCTTACACTTTCTATTCATCATATGTTCACTTTGGATTGCTAAGGTTTGTTTTAAATACATGCCAGCCTTTAACATTCAACCAGTGCCTAACATATAATGAGTGTATTTCTGGAAAACCGGTTTACCGGTACCAATTAAAGAATGGTGTTGTCTCCGACATCATACTGTAGGCGCCATATTGGAGGGCAGCTTAGAAAATGAAAGCAATGGAATGCTATAGATGACATACTTTTTATGGCTGCCTGTTGGACAGTTTTCCTAAATGTCTTACAGTTGTCTATGGAGGAATAAAAAGGGGGGGAGGGTACACTTTGCTTGTTTGAAACATGTCCTTTTAAAGGAAACACTTTGCTCAGCAAAGATATACTGTGTGTCACTTCTATATTGCCCACCTTGTTTTATGTATTCCTGTTTTCCTTTTGCAGACACAAACGCAGCACCGTATGTGAACTCTGATTTCAGGCAATAACAAAACACAAATATTGACAATAAAAGTTTTTTTGGTTGGAATCCAGTTTATAACATTTTTGTGTGACATGTTTGAAAGCCAGGGACTATTCGTAAGCAACATAACTTGAACAAATAGTGACAACTGGCCATATGATTTGTGAGCTGCTGATCTCACATGCATGCAACAAGCATGCAGATATGACAGAAAAAATGCCTCAAAATCCAAATTTTTTATTTTTTGGATGGAATGAGGAAGGGTTAGACCCCTGTCAGGTTTTTAGTGCTGTTTGTCTGTCCACTAGGGATGAGCTTAGGTTCAGACGAAACCCAGTTCAAACCTGAGCTCATCTGAACCTGGAAGGAGCTCGTACTGAACACGGAAGTAAGTTCCTTCTGTGCCACCCACACAGCTTAACCTAAGCAAAGAGGGCGAAATACAGTGACATAATTGAACTTATATGGCTACATGCTTATATTTAGTAAATTGCATCTACCTAATATGGCTATGTGGCAGCACAACCATCCAGTTCCTTTGTTTACCTGCCGCTGCGGGGCATTGGGGGGGTAGGAATGCATAGCTCCCAGATGATTGAGTGGAAGTCCCCCTGGCATTGCCTTGTCTGCGAAGCTCGGGTTGGATTGAGCTCATCTTTAGTCTCCACTCTGGGGAGCTGTACCCTCTCAATGTGACCACTGTCACCATGACTAACATTGATGGTAATTCTAACATTTTCAGGTGTTACGGGAACAAGAATAGAGGGCAAATCTTCCAAATGGGAGAGATGTTGCAGTGATAACTAAGAGGGGGTTTACCTTATTTTGGATAGATTTTCTCTTATTTCCTGGTGTTTCTATGGGACAGAAAGTGAAGAGAAATGTCTCCAACGAAACACCAATGGCTAAAAAAACATCCTGATTGGGTTTTAATCAATCCCAACTCTATCCAAAACTAAAACAAAAATACGTTTAGCTGTAGATACACCTTAATTTTTGAACATGCTTGTTTGGGTCAGTGACTCAGAAAGCATTTAAAACAAGGAACTAGCATTTGCAATAGGAGGTCAGAAATGCTATTGTTTAACCATACAGTTTCACAGTAAGAAAAGCATCTTGGGACAGAGAAAAAAGAAAAACAATGTGTTCCCGTGGTAATTTTTCCTGTAGCACAATCAATGTACCAAAATCAACACCTCCAATGAGCTCCAACATCTAGAGACAGGATCAATTAACCACGTTATACTCACAAAAATTAGATGTTTACTGTCTAAAGGTGGCCATACACTCTACAACCATCACAAGATGGTTGTAAAGTGATTTAAAAAAACGTACGATCTGCCCATCTTGGACAGGCAGATCGTACTCTCGATCATCGCAAGCCCACCCCTCCAATGACCGCAATGCTGAACGGGCAGTGTGCGCGTGCGCACACCTGCCCGTTCGGCATTTGTCTCCCGAGCACCGTACGATTCTCGGCTGGTTTTCTAGCATGCTCCTTAGACAAAAGACGTGCGACCGTACAGTAGAAACGGTCGCACGTCTTCGTTCACACTGCTCGATTCTCGTACGATCATGGGATTTCCCGCGATTCTCGTACGAGAATCGAGCAGTGTATGGGCACCTTAAGGGTGACAAAAAGTGTGAGAAGCTACCTGAAAGTAGTGGGTGGCAAGGCATCTGCTCATCCTCAATCACATTTCTATACCACTCCAATCTTCTCCCAAATTTGAATGAGCTATATATGTGGAACACATATTTTATCTCTATGAAAAGGCAATGGTGAGTGCTGCAATATCAAATCTATCTACCAGAAATACCCGTATTCACCTTTGGCTAACCACGCGTGGCCCAGTAGTCACAGTTGTCAATGTAAACTTGTACTGAGAAAATTCAAAGGTTCCCATTGTTGAACTCTCCTTTTGAAAATGCCAGTTGCTAAGGGCTGCAGTACCTGACTGACTGACCTGGAGCGAGCATGCAGATCAGGAGTTCTGACCTTTCTGTATCTCCATTTTGTTCCAGGTCAGTGAAATTACCGAAAACCTTTTACCACAACTTGGTGCTCTAATCCTTTACTTTAAGTAAGCTGAGACATTCCAGGGACAATGTCAAGGCTCCTCAAAGGACCAATCAACTAAATAAATAGAAATATATATTTTTTTTAAACGCAGAGGCCTGCTGACCCGTTCGCTCGCGATGATCTCCCACTACAGAATGGAATTCTGACAGATGTCGGCAAAATATAAACAATTAAGCAGAGCTAGCGGTGGCAGCCAGCTACCTCCGCCCAACTGTTTACATTTGTCCGACACCTGACAGGACTTAGCTGTGTGAGCCATGATTGGGCAAAGTCATCATGACTTTACCCAACCATGGCTCTTACAGTTCTCTGTGCTGTGATTGGGTAAAGTCTTGCACCTGACCTGTGGTCAGGTGCATTGCTTTACCCAATCAGGGCTTCACAAGGCATTGTGCGGTGTGCAGTGCCTTGCAGGGCGCTCGGCGGGCGAATAGCCCAGAGAACGCCCTGACAGTTCGCCGAACACATGAACTGCTGACTGCGAACTGCGAACTGTTGTTCGACTCGAACATCGAGCCCATCCCTATCCAGCACTCCACCATTCCAATTCAATTCCAGATTAAGAAAGTACAGAGACTGAAGACTGCCAGGCAGCTAGCATGTACATAAAGAGGTCAGCAATGTCAGTTTCCTTTATCTACAGCTTGCATTACTTGCAACAAT